ATGGAATTTTGTTAATTTCAATGTCAATTTGACGTCAATTCGATGAGTTATTTCTCGTTGGGGCGGAAGAAGTTTTGTATGTATATACATTTGCATACATTAATTCTGTAATATTTTACTTTTTTTATTAATTTATAACCAAATACTGCTTTTTTAAAACCAGTTTTTAAAATTTATTTTTGTGGAAGGTCACATTAGCATTTATGTTTTTCTTTGTGCCATTTTGCAATGTCGCTACACTTTTATAAATAGTGTCCTAAGTAATAAATGTTAAGTTCGAGTCTAGAATCGATTGAACAACACTTTGGCAAACACTTTGTAATCGATAAGTTTTAAATTTAAATATTATTTATTAACCAAGTTATTATATAACATAAATGGGGTAATATAATATCATCTTCTTATCTATATAGTAACTTATTCGCTTGTTCTTTTAGTAAGAAATTTCTAGTGTAAATTGGTTACTAGAATGTTAAAACTATTTGCAATATTGTCATCAACGTTCAAACGTTTTACAGAATTATTTTGATGATCCGATAAAATTATTTTCAGATCTGTATGTAATTAAATTTTTAGATACATCAACAAAACTATTCTTTCTATATAGATATTGGCTGAATAAGCTTTCGGATATTAGGAAATACTAGGAGATATGGATTTTGGAGTCAGTCCTCCCTCCACTGAGGAAATTTTAAAAGAGAGAGAAGAAGAGTCAAACATGTTTATAAATCCAGAATTGCTTAAGCAGCGACCAGCGGAGTATAAGCGGTAAATCGGCATCGAAAGTAACGTCGGCCTTTGAATTCGTAACAACGGACGCGATGTACAGTTAATGCGACTGCTCCACGGCGTGACCTAGAACAGCGGCGACTGTGTATCCGAGCAGTCGGAATAATTTTTAACCGGCCAGCCACTTTTACTCGGCAACCGGTCGCCCCGTTTGACGTAGTAAAAGATGAGGTCGATCATGAGGATAACGAGAATACGTTCGGGCTCACCTAGAACACCGCATCAACGGAGTGCGTTGAAGGAAAGAGAAGGAACGGAATAGAGAAGTCGACACACACGCGTATGCGCATCGCGAATACAACGAAAACTGGTTTCCTGCGCGATTCCCCATTTATTTATTACACGTACGATGGTGAACGTGTGCCCCCGTCGGCATCCCGATACGTGCATCTCGCCAAGGACTCGGCTCGCGAGAGCTTATTTAGAAATGCCATTGGGTCCTCCCGTGTCACAATGCCGAGGAAAGCTTCACCGAAATGTATACACTTAAGCCAGAATTTATAGTCGTAAATCATTGTATTAAGGATTTCAATTTTTAATTGAGGACGTGATTAATTCTTAACGCGATGATTTTCCGATCCTTTACTACACACGATGGGTCATGTCTCGAAAAATTATTAAGTGATTCTTACATTTACTTTAACATCTTTAAAAAGCATTTGTAAAGTTGTGTATTTAAAAAAATTGTATATAAATATTAAAACTAATTACTTGATGCTTCTAATTTTTCGATATAAAAGTGCGAATATGTGTGATATTATGTTATGAATAATTACAAAAATGTATATATTTACATCAAAGTAATAAAATACACTAGGCAACATAATTAACGCAACACCTGTTCACTCTGCAAAAATAGGCAAATTTTAAGATACAATAACTTCATCACAAATTGTCGTATCGAAATGTTTAAAAAAGCATTTTACAGGTAGAAACCTCTACTTTTCGGATCGCTACTTAAAAAAACGGTCTCATTTTTAATTTGCTTTTTTACGAAGCTCCGTATAATTTTTTTTCAGGTGTTGCGTTAATTTTGTTGCCCAGCGTATATTTATTAGTGTTAACTTTTCCGTTTAATATAAAAATATATTTACGCAATTAAAAGTACTAATTTTTGTAAAAATACACAATTTATGTATATCCATTATATAAGTTGTATAATTTTTCTATTATATTATTTATTTGATTTTACAATATATATTCTTTTTATAATGTGAATTAATATATATTCATTTTACAATGTTGTTCTCATGCAAATTTTAATTGTTTATAATGGTAACGCTTTTTATGGCTCACTCTGCCGTAACATAATTATTGATATGAATTGAATTGTTAACATTGCATAACGTAATTGTGGTATCACGAGTCAAACGTTCATCTCAATAATTGTAACGCAGAAAGCAAGATTTTTTCGTACCGGAGCGAGTTTCTTATTATATGGTTTCGTGTCACTTTCGTGACATCGATACACCGACTTACGTATAATTCTGCCTTTTTTTCAGCATTGAAGAAGATCTATATTCTTTTGCACGTGTCGCACGGCACACTCGTAACCTGAATTTGGAATAAACGTCTTTCGCCGTACGATGCAAATGCATCGTGTAATAATACGCTTATTGCGATGTTACTTCGCCCGCAACGACACAGATAACCTTTGCTACGTAAACCGCAAATTTATTGGTCACCCGAGATTACCATCATCTTGCCAAAAGCCCCGAGGATGCATCCATTAAAATAAGATGGCGATTTGATATCGGTAGAAAAAAGATATATATTTATGTGACCGTCTCTCCCATGTTGAAATATAGCTCGCAAACTCGATTCGAATGCTACATTGTTTCGACAAAACGCGTTTTCGGAGACGCGCCAATAGATTTCGCCAAAAGGTTAAACGCCTCTCGATACGCCAAAAATTTACCACACCTCGCTGCACATGCAAGTGATACTGCTCTTCCGGAAGGATTCATCTCGCAGTTATGTACTTAAAGGGATTAAAATATTAACGATTTCACAGAGACACGAGCAGGCAGTTAATTTCGCAGTGTGCTGCGAGCGATTCCACAGTCATGTATATATATATATATATATATATATATATATATATATATATATATATGT